ACATCTACCTGAAACAGTGCAAGCGTCTGGATTGTCTGTCTGCAGCAACCAAAACTGCAGAGGTAAAGTGGTCCTATGTCATTGGTTTTGAACCTTTTATTTTATGTCTGTCTCTGTCATAACTTGACCCGTTCACATGTATTCACTGTGACCACAAATGAGCTAAAGTCAAAAAAAAATCTCACTATAATATAAATTACTGAAATTCTATAATGTGAACTGATTCCGACAGACATTTATTGAGAGTATAAAAGACAGTGACAACACATTCAAATTTTTAGCGCTTGGGTTACTTTTGGCCTTTGATGGAGAAAAAAGGCACATATTGGTCCCTACAATAACATTCATTCAAAAACAAGCACAGGCCCTTATGACTGATTTGTGCCACACAGGAGACGCAATCAAAAGCACCAGGCTTTAATTAACCACCAGTCTGACTTGAGTATCATGAGTATCCCACCGCTAATTACCTCGAGAGCTACTGCATTTTTTGTTTCGTGCTAGTGAAAAGCCAGTTGATGAAAACAGGCCGAAGAATGGATGCAAGGGAAGAGGCTAGATGAGCTTTCAGCCCTTGTCCCTGGGTGTAAATTACATAACGATATAGTAAAATATTCATGACACGCCCTGGGTATGGGATCCTGCCGGCTCTCAAGTGCTGAGCTAACACTTTGCCTTCAGCCATGCTAAGTCCAAAAAGTAACATGGGCCATACAAATTCAACTAGGAAGCCAATTAGAGAAACACTGGTCTTGCCACGTTAAGATGCCAAATACTTTAGTAGTGTCTAAGTTTCTTTTGCTGTGATTCTGTATGTATTTTCAACCCTCATATAAATATGAAAAATATATGAAGCAGATGTAACCCTGGATAAAATAATATTGTTATAACCTTTGTAGGCCCCAACATAACACTAGCCAGAAAATAAAGTCACACACTTGTTTTAAATTGCAGCTTGATGTAATGCGCTAAATTGGTTCACAGTGAAATAGCACTATGAGAGATATGTATTTTAATGACGGTGCCAAAATTAAAAAGCCCATCTGGTAAACAGGTCATGAAAGCCCAATAATTGTGTGTAATTGTGAGGTTTTTGTGTAATCAGTGTTTTAGTAATCACTACATCCACTGGATGTTTTCTTTGCCTATTGTTGAAAAAATATACTGACATTTTAAAAGTTAAATATTTTAGTTTAGAATAAAAAAATAACAGTTATTGGCTTTCAGTGATTCTCTGAGTCTAGCCAGCAGATAAGCTTAGGCGCATTTTTTTCAGTTCATTTAAAGTAGTTAAAGAGTAGTGTTTAGGTTGGGTATGTGTATGACTTTGACTTTATTGATGGATACGAGAGTGTTGCAGAGCCATGCTGTGCCAAAGGACAAGCTTAGCCTCACTCCTCTGTTTTTATCCAAGAGCTAAAAGAGCAGCATGGCATTTTATTCAACACTATTTAACAAACGCTTCTTTTAGTAAAATGTATCAAAGTAATTTCCATAAGATACCTCAGGTCAAGTACAGGTATAATGTGAATAATGTATAATAAAAGTCTGCATTCATTCTTTGTGAAACATTTTGAATATTTTTCACCTGGGGCCTGCTCCACGCCTCATACAATCACATTACCATAATGTTTATGATTCACTAAAATGCTCTGCCTGTCAAACACTAAACAGACACTAAGTTGATTAAGCTTTTCAGAACCCTCTGATGTTGACAGTGTTTTGTTTTCTGCTTGACTTGAAAACAGCTGTGAAGAAATTATTTCATAAAGCCTTGTTTTTTTTTTTAGGTTTCTGATGATATTTGCTTCAACCCTGAACCAGTAGTTCTTGAGAAAGACCACAGACCAAGTTCTCTAGACTTTTCAGTGCAGAGGACGCTTCTCTCCTTGGACAAAGTGCCTCTTTTGAATCAGCCTGTTTTTCCAATGGCAATTCACCACTTTCGGAAATGGATGCATTTGCATAATGCACATAGAACTGCTCTTGTGCACTTTCCTTTCCTTCAAATCTCAATAGAAAGCAAAAGAGGAGCTCATGGTTATTCTGCACCAGCATTGTCATATGCAAAACGTGCTCAGACGGTGGCTGCTCTCTGTGCCCTGTCATCACTGCCAGTGAATTATCACAAGGACAGACTGGATATTGTAGGAATGTACTTTGCAATGTTAGAGGCCAATCATGACATGCATGACAAGTATAACATAATGTTCTTAAGAATACTGAGCCAAACTACTTCTTTCAAATGTCCTTCTGCTTATATGTGAGATATCACTTGTATTAGCTCTAGAAGTCAGACAGACTCTCTTATGATTTTTATTAGCTTTAGAAGATTTCAGACCAGTGTCCATCCAGAAACGGCACATTGCATTAATTTGTTGGATCGAGCTATAGGGATCATAGTTGGCATTTACTCAGCCCATCCTTTGCCCAGGGGTACAAAGTCTTGGATGCTGTGAGTCACTCCCTCGAATCAGAACAAAACCGAAAGATTTAAATAATTTGTTCCCACAGCAGGATCTGGCATGGAGGAGGAACACACAAGAGCTGTGCACTGGCAGCCTGTATCCAAACACTGGCCTGCCAATAGCTGTGTAAAGACATCTCTCAAGACTAAGTGGACAGACCCTCCTCTGCTGCCTGTGAGCACAGCCTCCCCATGGAGCCTGGCTCTGTCTACTTCGAGAAACCCATTGAGATTTCTCAATATTACGTTTATCCAAGGTAAAGCAAAGTCAGCAGTATATTTAGGAACGCAGTTTACTTTTTGTTAAAAAAGATTGTTATTATGGAAATTTGGCATGTTGCATGATGCATGATGATGCATTAGCCAAAATAATGTAAAGAGGTTAGCACATGAGCAGTTGAACGACCCAATGAGCTGCTAGGTCCAGCTAGGTCTATAACTTGAATAAATATTTAATTTAGTTTGTATGATTTTTATTTGTTTAACATTACGTTAACTTAATATTCTATGATATGTGACGACAAAATCCTGAGATTAATTTTCATCATAAATATCCAAAAGATATTATAAAATCATATGCAATATCTGTTTGTGTGCTTTATATTCATCTAATCATAACTCATAGTGTGCATATTAAAAATATCTGGTATATTTCATTAAAAAACAAAAGGAATATGGGACATGGATGTCTTCTGAAACTCATCAATATCTTTCGGTTCAAGCTCAACTTTTATTTGTCCTATATTTTCAATTCCCTGCTGTAGAGTCCAAGTGGACCAGAGTTGGCATTGACCCAAAGTGAACAGATGCCTTGTTCCCTGACCCATGAACTGGACATTGGTATGTGCCTTACAGAACATCTCCTTGTCAGTACGGGCTGAGCTAACCGCAGAGGCCTCCTTTGGTCTACTCCTCCGTAATTACACAGGTCTGCTGTGAGATACAATATGTCACCTGGCACAGTGCTAAGAATAAAATCAATGTGTGAAGATGAGGCTTGTGTGGCAGCTGCTCTCTGCTATAAAAAGACTCTAAAGTTTTTCAAAGTAACTCAGACAAGTGTATTTTCTGGTTCGCTGTATGATATAATGACATTTATCAGCCGTGTGATGTGGGCCACTCTACCAGTCATGTTGGAGACATATGTAGAGTAATCTGGCCCAAATCAGAAATAGGTTTCTTATAGGTGTTGTCTACTCATTCAGAAATGTTATAGTGCAGACCGATGGTTCTCAAAGTAAGGTGTGGATGTCATTGATGATATGCTACTTAACCTCATCCTAATTTTGTGATTTTGATTAGATTTTTTTTTTTTTTTTTTGAAGTGACAACACCTACTTGGGTTTCAGTTTAGAATATGGTTGATTTTAGTCTAGTTTTTGTATGAAATTTAATCCTAGTTGAGTCATCTGTTGAGTCATTGTTAAGTTCTGATTTAGACTCATTTAAATTCCGGGTTTAGTCCTTTCCTGGCTGAATCCTGGCTGATTTAATCTAATGCAAGTCTCTAGTTTAGTCCTTTTATATTGATAAGTTCTGATTATATTTATCCAATTTGGGCAAAACTGATGTAGTGAATGTGTGAAAATCAGTGCTATATATACACACTATTGAATATAGTCTCCTCTCACATTACTTTAGACAAAACAGTGTAAACTTTACATTGAGACACTGAAAATCACAAACAGACTGAGCAATGCTGTTTTTGGAAGTATTCTCAGCAGCCCAGTCTTGCATATATAAACCTTATTAGTGTCTGACAAGATGCACAACACTGGGTTTTAGTACCTTTGAGCTAAGAGAAAGGAGTGACAAACTTTTTTTCACTGAAACAATTTACAACAAAAAAGTAAAATGGCTGTGCTCTGAAAGCGGAAACTAAATAGGTAAATTAACATGCACTTGGTGGTGGCTTTTTATGTCTGTTTTTGTTTCTTCTCCTATTCACATTAATTTGGATGTATTTTCTTACTAAAATGCAACATAATTTGTCTGGAAGAGTGCTTGGATATGTTTTACCGTAACAAGAAGGAACTGTCTTCTTAACTATCGCGGAAAAACCCAAAAAAGTCTGATATTGCACTGTCATATATGCATTTAAAAGTACAGAAGATGTATTGAAAATGTCTAGAGATGTTGGAGAATTGTACTTCTGAGTTACCTGAAGGATTATATGCAGTATGCAATAGTATTACAGTCATTAGTTATAATTATAATCAGATTTTTGGACATTTAAGGTTGGTTATTTAAATGACTTGCAAACAACAACATCTGATGTGAGTATATTCATAGTGACCATGATCAGAAACACTACATTAGATGTTTAGCTGTTTATAGATGATATAGATGATACATGTCATCTTATAACTAAAAATTTGATAATAAATCAGATTTAGAGCGTGCCTGTATCAACAGCCAGTGACATGAAGTTATTACTAGTAGCATTTGTGTTTTCCCCTCAACATACAGTAAATTTGTTCAAGCAGTGATTTAAAGTTGTAGAGGAAAAAGTCAAACAATAACTGTATCTGACCTTGAAGAGTCGCAGGATGTTGGCCACCATGATTGACACGGAGCTGGCCGATGCGCCGATCACCCCCACCACTCTCTCTGGCTTGGTGATGATTGGCGGTCCGCCGCTGAGACACTTGACATCTGTGGAGTCTTTCTCAATCAGTGCTTGCACAAACGTCAGTGACTGCTCCAGTGCATGGGTGTCCCGCGAGCATGTGTCCAGGATCCGTGCCCCCAAAGTGATATTAGGAAGCAGCTCATTGTCATTATTGATACGATCCAAGGCAAACAGCATAGCCTCTAATCTGTGGATTCCCTTTTCCTTTTTGAGCTCTCCGCAAGCTTTCCCATCATTCCCTCTGGCATGTACCGGAAACAGCCCACCCAGAGATATGTCCCCATCTATACGGATGGAGTTAAGGTGAGTGTGGCCTGGCATTTTTGGTTTGGCTCCAGAAGTAAATGAAAAACAACAAGCCAGTAGTAAGACCTTAAAGTAGGTATTTCTGTTGTTGGTCCAAGCTCCCTCAAAGTCCGCTCGGAAAGTCATAGTGAGTAGCTAAATAGGGGTCCAAAGAAAGCCAGACTTCTTTGAAAATGGAACTACACACAGCGATTTGTGCATACAAATGTCCGGAAGGGTGGCCTTGCTGTTTTCTGTCTCAGAAGTCTTCTCTCATGGTCTCTTGCTTTGACACAAACTTGGTTATACTAATTATGCAGTCTGGCTCCCACGCTTGATCCTCCGCCTTTCTTCTGCCGGCTTTGTGGTTCCCTCTCGTTGCGCACCTGAGAGTTGTGGCTACATGCGCTAACTAAATAGAACAGGGAATCTGCAGAGAGCCCTTTTCAATGGCATTGGCAAGAACAAAGCACTGGAGTTGGTCTCTATTCTCTGCGTCTTCAAAATCACTCTTGGCCTCTTGGTCCTTCAAGTGGCCTCCCCAGCTGGCTTCTGCAAACAGAAAAAAATTACATGAGATGAGCTAAGAGAAAAGTTAAAACCAAAAAGTATTTGCTTTAAATTTGTTATTATGTCTATAAAGGTGTTTGCATCTGTCACACAGCCCTTTATGAACACGTCTCCCACCAGGCTTCTTTTGTGTCAGCTGTTCCCTCTGGTTATGTAAAACATCCTCCATTCATTATTACTCCTATTGTCTTCATTTTTTCTCTGTGGTTTACACTTGACAGGTCTAGTCTCAATGCTGGGTCAGAGATACACATACAGCAGGTTTTAGATTACACCACATTTTATAGTCCTGTTGTATTAAAGATGGTGGCACATGAAATTCAGATTTGAATGTGCATAGTCTCATTGATTTCATTTTACTTCTGCACATATGGCAACGGACAACAGATAAAAGCTGTCCCTTTGGGTACCTCTGGAATGTAGCAATGCCATCTAAAATCTAGTGATTCTCACAGATTTAGACAGTATTAGATAAATATTGCTGGATAAGAGGCCAGTCGCTTATGTAAAGAATCACACATTTATCTGAGAGAGGGACTAGCCTTTCCAGCAAGATGAATTCTTGCAATTTTTAGGAGATGACAAACTCTAGTGAATTTGTCTTTTTCCAACTGAAGCGTTTGCATGTGATAGGTCAAACTGACCAAACACATCGTGGTCTGGGTGGAAGCTAGTGCAGGACAAACCAAAACAAACATGTTGACGCCGACAACTTTACTTTAGCCTATTTTAGCAGAAATACAGACTATTTTGTTTTTGAAAAACATGCAGAGGGAAGCATTTTGTGTATTTGTGGATACGTAAGACACTTGTGCTTTTCTCTCAAGTGGATTTAACAAAAGTTAGATTTTTTTGGCTTATTCCACTATTGTGACACTTCAACGCATCAAAGTGATGTATTGTTTTAACACTCTGATCATTGATTTCAATCGCTTTGAGCAAGAGCCATCCTAGATTGATATGTAGAAATTTATTCAGTGGACTACACATATCAATCTGCTGAGAGCCAGGTTAGAGAGGGACATCATCACATTCAAGAATCTGACCTCAACTTACACCTAGATGAAGAGAGCTCTGGAACTTTGTATTTCACCCATGCTTTAGCTGCTTTCGGAGCCCAGCAATGAATTATTTGTATGTGCCGTGAGCATAACTGATTCACTGCTGCTTGGCTCCACTCCATATCCTTCATAAGCGCCACTGTGTTCATGTAGATCCTCTATGGAGTGTTTCAACAAAGGATTACACCACATAATGGAAAATTAAAAGAGTGGGATTCCTAGAGTCTCAGGCGTAGTGCTCTTGACTTATGAACATATCTAAGCTCTGTCTTTAGAACCCAATTTAATGCACATTTTATCGTCTTTCCTCCCAAGGTTTGGCCTTGTGTTTGTGTGTTTTACTGAACAGTGGGCAGGTGTCTTCCACAGTGTCGAACTAATAGAGCAATGCATCAAAGCGCAGTGGGAGATGGCTCTAGCTTGGCGCCATTCTGACTCAATTGACCACCGTTCACACATGTCAAGCTCTGGCTCATGCTGCTTTTGTATGCTAACCTAGCCGCTCCTGCTGAGATGCGGCCCCAGCAGAGGACACAGAGGGCAGAAGCGGAAGCACTTTCACGTCCGAAAAGTTAGATGACTTGCACAACCGTAGCTGTCAGTAATGTTTTTGAGACCACCTATTTCAGTGTCAGCAGAAACACGGCACAAATCCAACCAGGAAGACTGTATTTCCTGATTGTAGCTACCTTTGCCTTTCAAACAAGCAAATCTAAAGCCATTGAGATAACTGACCTTATTCCGCCTGCTCACTTTAGTCTCTAAATGCAACTAAACCTCATTTTCTTTGTGGTGACCCTTCCAATTAAGCAGGAATTCTACTAATTTTAGTGGAATATTTGAGAAAAGTTTTGCCGGCAAAATATGATATAAAGTAGGCTGATTTGTGTAAAATGTTCAATGTCTATGTGCACCAACAACTCAGCAATGGTAAAGCTTAAAACAGCTTTGTAATCCATATAGAACTTGTTTCAAGATCAGTACCCTTTTGCAAAATTATACAACCTGAATGACAATGACAACACCTATGGCAACTTCTGGAATAAGGTGAATTCTGACAATTGTATTTTTCATATCATTTATTAATTTGCTCATGACCTTAATCAAGGTAAACTGCATGCCAAAACGTGCCTGCTTAGTTCCACCGCAGCAGCAGAACCATTAGCCTACATCCTCCTGTTCTTCAATACATACGTCAGTGTGTCACTTAACTATTCATCACATTTCATTTGATTTCAGTCTGGTCAAGTCTGTCCTTGTTGAAATGTCTTACACATGCATATTGATGGACACACAGAATCTCACTGAGGTATCATGAGACTGCCTCCACATATACATTATTGACTGGGTTGCCCTCTGTAGACCACATGAGTCTTCTTCACTTTCTTCTAGTTTGAACCTTGAATCAAATAATAAAGTAGCACTGCCTCACCACAACTGTGCAGCCTGCCTTCTTCTGTCCTGCTGGGAACTAAAAGGAGATATTTATATCATCCAGCCAAGATCACCCCCTAAAACACAGTATTCATTATGGATGAAGGCCTCAGAGTCACGGCAAAACATCTCACTCCAGGAGAAAGCCTCCAAGACAGGGGGCAAGGCGAGGAGAAAGGAAAAGAGGTGAGAGGGAAGAAAATATGGTCCAAAATGTTTTTATAACCTTGCCCGAAAAATGGCCAAACACACAGTCAAAGTCATAAAGGTAAAAATATTTGGCACAGAGGACATAAAAATTGTTAACACAAATCTAAAACGTCCAAAAATATCCACACAAACAACAAAATGGAGAGAGAAATAATGCCAAAAAAAATATTTTTAAATTTATTTTTAATTGCATGACAGATGTGATAGATGATTTGTGCTATGTTATAGCTGTATGAAAAGACAGTGAATAATTTTGAAGGTATATCTTGAAAGAAACATCTCTGCATCCAAAAATGCATCAAGTCAATAGTCTCAGCAAGATTCAGTTCAATTTTGTCTTAAGCTTTTTCTCTCCGGAGAGGTTATTCACTACCGCTACTGCACGGGTGGCCAGGAAATCACTTTTTAATTGGCTGAGCATGTTTGTCTTTGTGTGTAGATAGTGTGATAATAAGGTTGTGTGATAATTTTCTGAGATCATAATCAAAGCCAGCAAAATTAAGAAAAGAAGCTCTAGGCTAGAAATGTTCTTCTTTTTTGAGGTAGCTGATCGCTCATGGTTGTGATTACAAACTCTTGAAACAGCAATGAGGATAATTAGAGTGCCCCGGTCAACATAGGAGAGAGTAGGAGTGAGTTTTTCTCTACCGGCCAGACGTTGCTTTGTCAATAGACTTGAAGAAATTGATGTTTTCAGATTCCAGAAGACCGTACAAGCCAGTTTTCCTGTATCAAATGTGTATTTTAATGAGAAATATCTAAAAGAAATTAACACTTTGATGAACTTGATTTTTCAATTTAGCAACTGCTATATTGCAAACGTACATATTAACATTTGTTTTGTCCGCCCCCATCTCAATTTAACATTGAATGAGGCAGAAAAAAATAGGTGGAAAAAAGTCCAGTGCGCTAATCTTTTGAAGGCAAATTTTGATATATGAAAAGTGCCTATTTTTTCTTGTCATTTTTTTCATTCTGTTATGCCTTTAAAGAATATTGCCTCATAACCAAGCTTGCCTCTTTGTTCCTAGAGTGTTTTGAAGGTGGACAGCAGTGGCCCTCTCTTTTTGTCGCTATGTGGAAGACTGCGCTCAGACTGGCAGCTCCAGCAGATGTTTTAGTCCTGAGCCCAGATGGGACATGCACATAAACATCAGCTGTCAGCAGGGAGAGAGGCGAGGAGGGACTCAAACTTTAGCTGGCCTGTCCCCAGCTCTCCTGCTGAGCCTGTATCCATGCTTTTAGACATAGGCATCATGCACAAACCCACTGAAATAGTCATGATAACAGTGCTGTTGGGCTGACTCACAGCTTCTGTTGTGGATGTCTTTGAATTAACTTTGATATTGTGTTATTCCCTTTCACTTACAACTGGGATTTTATACAGGAACAGTGTACAGGTGACATGGAGCCGAGAGAAAGACTGGACTGGATGGACCTTTCCATGTGTAATTTGTTTGTGTTGGTTTTCTGTAAAAACTCTAGCAAAAAACAACCTAGCGAGCACAGACATTATACTGTACAAAGATGTTATTGTCTGTATCCGTCCTCTATGATTAGCGATGGACTTGATTGACAGTTGGATTGTCGCATCAGAAACACATTGTCGGTTTGTGTCAAACAAAAACAGTAAAAAAAAAAATTAGGAGGCACAGAAACAGTGTTGAATTCTATGGAATCAACAAGTGAAGCAGTAAACCTTGTAAATCTGAGGTAAAAGAAGATATATATTTGGTTTGTAATGATATGAGAATATTCAGTAGAAGAGGTCTTTCA